AACAGCCTGACAGATGCCGGCCCCTACCTCCAAGTGGTGGTGAGCTTCCCCTAATTGTGCCATACTGCCCCCTACCAGGGATTTTCTGAGGCCCCTCCCTCCCAAGGCCCCAGGGCAGATCTGGCTTTGGTAAGCCAAGGATGGGATCTGAGCAGACCACCAGAAAATGCCAAGTTCTGGCCTCCCTCTGGCCTCCCTCTGGTATAGGATTGAAAATACAGGGGACTGCCTGAGAGAGCCTGGATCCTGCCTCCACGTGGTGAAGGAAGCTTGAGGATACCTGAGTGGAACCTGAATTGGACTTCTGTGGTACCCCTGAAGAGCTGATCTGAACCAATCAGTTACCTCCAAAATAAACCTGAGAGAACCTGAACCCTGTACCAACCAGCTTTACATAACCAATAAAGAAAGGATCTAGGCACCCAGATAATACAAACAGAAGCATACTTCAACTTAATTCTCATATCAGAATCATAAACAACAAAAGAAATTCACATTCCAAAACCACAATGAAAGAATAATAAAATGGAAAGCCAAAACACTTTGCCCCCACCAATGCTCACAAGGAAAACACCTAGAGATAACCCACGACACTAAATTTAAAAGAACAATCATAAACATGATCAAGGAATTCAATAAATTTAAAGAACACACGAACAAACAAATCAAAGAGCTAAAAGAAGATAGGATAAACTACTGAATGAATTCACAAAAGAGAAACATTGAAGAAAACTCAGGCAGAAATGAAGAAGGAAGTGCAAAACTCAATAAACCAACTTGAAACAACAGAGGAAAGCCTCACCACTAGAATGAATGAAATGGAAAATAGAATATCAACATTGGAGGATAAAGTTGAAGAATTTGACCACTCAAGCAGAGAGTACGGAATTGTTTTTAAAATACAGGAATGGAATATGCAAGAGACATGGGACACCATGAAAAGACCAAATCTATGGATCATAGGAGTAGAGGAAGAATTTCAGGTTAATGGTGTTCATGTGATCTTAAACAGGATTGTAGAAGAGAATTTTCTGAAATTAAGGAAAGACATCCCCATACAAATACAGGAAACACATAGAACACCAAATAGACAGGATCAGAAAAGAAACTCCCCACAACATATAGTAAAAACACTAAATGTACAGAATAAAGAATACTGAAAGCAGAAAAAGAAAAACAACAAGTCACATACAAAGCAAAGCCCATCAGAATTACAGCTGACTTATCAATGCAAACTATGAAAGCCAGAAGACTCTGGACCAACATATTTCCAGTTCTACATGACAATAGATGCCAGCCCAGAATACTTTACCCAGCAAAATTGTCTATTATAGTTGAGGGGGAAAGGAAAAAACTTTAATAGAGATAATGACACAAAAAGCCTGAAAGAATGCATGTCCACAAAACCAGCCCTTCAAAGAATACTTGAAGGAATATAGAGAACAGAGAGAGAAACAACTATACCACAGAGGCAATTGATAAAAATAAATAATGAATTATACAGAGAACACAAACAGCAATCAAAATGATGGCAACCAATACACATCTTTCGATAATAACCTTAAATATCAATGGACCGACCCCCCCAGTCAAAGACACAGGCTCAGCAAATGGATTAAGAAACAAAAATCCATCTCTTTGCTGTTTGCAAAAGCCCATCTCACCTTCAAGGACATGCACTAGGATGGAAAGTATATTCCAAGCAAATGGCACTAAGAAAAAGCAGGGGTTGTGATTCTAATAGCTGACAAAATAGACTTCAAAGTAAAGCTAATCTGAAGAGATAAGGAGAGTCATTGCATTCTGATCAAAGGAACAGTTAACCGAGAAGATATTACAATCCTTAACATATATGCACCAATCTCTAGTGCACCCAAATTCACAAAAACATCACTACAGGACTTGAAGACACAGATTAATCCCAACTCAGTAATAGTAGGGGACTTCAGTACCACACTGTCTGCATTAGATAGGTCAACTGGACAAAGGAAAAAAAAGAGAGACATCTGAATTAAATGATACCATACATCAAATGGACCTAACAGACGTCTTTTGATTATTCCACCCAAACACCAAAGAATACACTTTCTTTTTTTAATATTTTATTTATTTTTATTTTTACTTTATGTGTATGAGTGTATTGCCTGCATGTATATGAGTGCATCTGTTTTGTGCAATGCCCTCAGAAGTCAGAAGAGGGTATTGGATTCCCCTGGAACTGGAATTATGGATGATTATTAGCTGCCATGTGGGTCTGGGAATCAAACCCAAGTCCTCTGCAAGAGCAGCCAGTGTTCTTAACCACTGTGCCATCTCTCCAGCCCCCAAACCTTCCTTTAAGTTGTCTTTTT